ATGGAAGGTGGAAGGTGGAAGGTGGAAGGTGGAAGGTGGAAGGTGGAAGGTGGAAGTAGACGATGGAAGGTGGAAGGTGGAAGGTGGAAGGTGGAAGGTGGAAGGTGGAAGGTGGAAGGTGGAAGGTGGAAGGTGGAAGGTGGAAGGTGGAAGGTGGAAGGTGGAAGGTGGAAGGTGGAAGGTGGAAGGTGGAAGGTGGAAGGTGGAAGGTGGAAGGTGGAAGGTGGAAGGTGGAAGGTGGAAGGTGGAAGGTGGAAGGTGGAAGGTGGAAGGTGGAAGGTGGAAGGTGGAAGGTGGAAGGTGGAAGGTGGAAGGTGGAAGGTGGAAGGTGGAAGGTGGAAGGTGGAAGGTGGAAGGTGGAAGGTGGAAGGTGGAAGGTGGAAGGTGGAAGGTGGAAGGTGGAAGGTGGAAGGTGGAAGGTGGAAGGTGGAAGGTGGAAGGTGGAAGGTGGAAGGTGGAAGGTGGAAGGTGGAAGGTGGAAGGTGGAAGGTGGAAGGTGGAAGGTGGAAGGTGGAAGGTGGAAGGTGGAAGGTGGAAGGTGGAAGGTGGAAGGTGGAAGGTGGAAGGTGGAAGGTGGAAGGTGGAAGGTGGAAGGTGGAAGGTGGAAGGTGGAAGGTGGAAGGTGGAAGGTGGAAGGTGGAAGGTGGAAGGTGGAAGGTGGAAGGTGGAAGGTGGAAGGTGGAAGGTGGAAGGTGGAAGGTGGAAGGTGGAAGGTGGAAGGTGGAAGGTGGAAGGTGGAAGGTGGAAGGTGGAAGGTGGAAGGTGGAAGGTGGAAGGTGGAAGGTGGAAGGTGGAAGGTGGAAGGTGGAAGGTGGAAGGTGGAAGGTGGAAGGTGGAAGGTGGAAGGTGGAAGGTGGAAGGTGGAAGGTGGAAGGTGGAAGGTGGAAGGTGGAAGGTGGAAGGTGGAAGGTGGAAGGTGGAAGGTGGAAGGTGGAAGGTGGAAGGTGGAAGGTGGAAGGTGGAAGGTGGAAGGTGGAAGGTGGAAGGTGGAAGGTGGAAGGTGGAAGGTGGAAGGTGGAAGGTGGAAGGTGGAAGGTGGAAGGTGGAAGGTGGAAGGTGGAAGGTGGAAGGTGGAAGGTGGAAGGTGGAAGGTGGAAGGTGGAAGGTGGAAGGTGGAAGGTGGAAGGTGGAAGGTGGAAGGTGGAAGGTGGAAGGTGGAAGGTGGAAGGTGGAAGGTGGAAGGTGGAAGGTGGAAGGTGGAAGGTGGAAGGTGGAAGGTGGAAGGTGGAAGGTGGAAGGTGGAAGGTGGAAGGTGGAAGGTGGAAGGTGGAAGGTGGAAGGTGGAAGGTGGAAGGTGGAAGGTGGAAGGTGGAAGGTGGAAGGTGGAAGGTGGAAGGTGGAAGGTGGAAGGTGGAAGGTGGAAGGTGGAAGGTGGAAGGTGGAAGGTGGAAGGTGGAAGGTGGAAGGTGGAAGGTGGAAGGTGGAAGGTGGAAGGTGGAAGGTGGAAGGTGGAAGGTGGAAGGTGGAAGGTGGAAGGTGGAAGGTGGAAGGTGGAAGGTGGAAGGTGGAAGGTGGAAGGTGGAAGGTGGAAGGTGGAAGGTGGAAGGTGGAAGGTGGAAGGTGGAAGGTGGAAGGTGGAAGGTGGAAGGTGGAAGGTGGAAGGTGGAAGGTGGAAGGTGGAAGGTGGAAGGTGGAAGGTGGAAGGTGGAAGGTGGAAGGTGGAAGGTGGAAGGTGGAAGGTGGAAGGTGGAAGGTGGAAGGTGGAAGGTGGAAGGTGGAAGGTGGAAGGTGGAAGGTGGAAGGTGGAAGGTGGAAGGTGGAAGGTGGAAGGTGGAAGGTGGAAGGTGGAAGGTGGAAGGTGGAAGGTGGAAGGTGGAAGGTGGAAGGTGGAAGGTGGAAGGTGGAAGGTGGAAGGTGGAAGGTGGAAGGTGGAAGGTGGAAGGTGGAAGGTGGAAGGTGGAAGGTGGAAGGTGGAAGGTGGAAGGTGGAAGGTGGAAGGTGGAAGGTGGAAGGTGGAAGGTGGAAGGTGGAAGGTGGAAGGTGGAAGGTGGAAGGTGGGAGGTGGGCCCTCGCGTCTGAGGCCGCCTCTAACCAAGATGACGGAAGATCCAGCTCATCCTCCCTCCACGAGTACCCTCGCTACCGACGAAGCATTAGCCTGGGCCAGATCCTGCAGCACTCGGACGGCCCCTACAACGACGGTTTCAACAGCGCCGGTAGCACGTACCCCGGCAGCAGCGAGACCTCGCCTGACACGCACACAGATGCCACCGGGCGAGAACTGAGTGACTTCGAGAAGGAGAACCTGCTCTTCCTCAAAGACTTGGACAACAGCTATCACCGACCCCTGACACAGAGCCTTAGCAATACCAGCCTTGGCTCGACCTTCTCCGAGGACTCTCTGACAGGTAGGAAGGATTAAGGATACTGAATCTTTCTTCGTGTAATAAAAACACTTATTTTTTTGTTAGAAAGCAAAAGAAGAAATTGAAAATGTTTGCGTATCCTAGGGACGAAGAGGGAAAAAGGGCATTCGTAAAACAATGAACCAAACTTGAAAGAGAACCCGTGTGATTATTAAGACGTTGATTGATTGCATTAACATCCCCGACGTCGACGTTCCTCGGTCAAATGGCGCCAAGATGCGTGATGAGATATTGCCATTAAGGTAAATCCGCCGACCGGCCTTGAGTACGTGCGCAACTTAATGTCCTTATCTCCGTGGGTTCAAAAAGTGAAACATTTTTATATGGCAGCTTTTAATCCCTTGTTTTCCTTATTTATCCGAGCTAGCCATTAAACTTCAGCCGCTTTTATTTTATGGTTCCCCTTTCCCCTTATAGAGAAAATGAGTGGAAAAATCATCAGTCGCTTAATTGCATCGTTGAAAATCATGGAAAACCACATAACCCCGATAGAATTTCCTGGGATAACGTGGGTGAAATGAGATTTAATTAACTCATTTATTCCCTCATATTTTTTTAAATTCATGTGGAATGTGAAAGGCGATGAACTCAGTTACTATCCCCATTAACTAATTAATTAAACCCTATTATTCCCTCTCATTTTTTATCATCTGCTCAAAGGTAATCAGATAATTTTCCTTAAAAAGAACACATAAGGAGTCTTAATCCACCGTCCCTTCAACGCCACTTCGCTGCAGGTAACCTTTGAGGATTTATGATCGAAAAAAAAACTTGGAAAATGAGAACGAAACGGGTATAAAAAATACCAGACGCTATCATCTTTTCGTAGATTCGATTTTGGTGGAACTGGAGTGGAGAGATAAGGAAATGGCTTTCCTGTTCTGCTCTTTCTTGGGTGGAATCTTTATTCTCTTTCTTTTTTTCTCTTTCTCTCCTTCTTTCTTTCTTTTTCTCTTTCTCTTCTTTCTTTCTTCTTCTCCTTCTTCCTTTTCTTCTACGTCTTCTTATTTTTCCTTATTTTTTCTTTCTGCTTTTCTCCTTTTTCTGTTTTTCTTCTTCTTTTTCTTCATACTCTTCTTGTTACTTATGCACTCACTTGCTCACTCATTCACTCACCTATCCAAACACGTACCTCCCCCCCCACCCTTTCACTACCTCACTTATATACTCACCCACGCACTCACTCTCTTTCTCACTCACTCATTCACTCACTCTCTCTCTCTCTCTCTCTCTCTCTCTCTCTCTCTCTCTCTCTCTCTCTCTCTCTCTCTCTCTCTCTCTCTCTCTCTCTCTCTCTCACGCACTCAATCACCCACTCGCTTACTCAGTCACTCACTCAATCTCTCATTCGCTTACTCACCACCCACTCACTCACTCACTCTCTCACTGATTCACCCACCCACTCCTCTCACTCACTCAATCTCTCATTCGCTCACTCACTCATATGTCCACTCTTTCTTTCACTCACCAACTCACTCGCTCTCTCCCTCGCTTACTCACTCATGCAACATTCACAGTCAGGCTCTCATGCTCGCATAACTTGTTGAAAGCAGAGCAACTACACATTGCAGGGGAAAGCTTAGGGCCTGATTCAATGTACCAGCGCATAATTAGGTATTGTTGGTTAATGTATTTTATATTACGTTTGTTTGGCTAATTGTCTGGCTGCTGTCTGTCTGTATCTATTTACCTGTCTCTGTTTCTCTCTTTCTGTTTCTCTCTCTCTCTCTCTCTCTCTCTCTCTCTCTCTCTCTCTCTCTCTCTCTCTCTCTCTCTCTCTCTCTCTCTCTCTCTCTCTCTCTCTCTCTCTCTCCCTCCCTCTCCCTCTCCCTCTCACACACACACTTTCTCTCTCTCTCCTTCTCCCTCTCCCTCACCCTCTCAATCTCTCTCTCTTTCTCCCTCCCCCGCTCTCTTTCCGTCCCCCTCCCCCTCCCCCTCCATCTCCATCTCTCCCTCTCTTTCTCTCTCACTTTCTCTCTCGCTCCCTCTCCCTCCCCTGCTCCCTCTCCCTCCCCCTCCCCCTAAGTCTCCATCTCTTCCTCTCTCTCTCCCTTCCTCCCTCCCTCCCTCCCTCTCTCTTTACCACTCACTCTCTTCTTCTCTCACGTCCACGTGCACATAAACAAAACCGCACACTTGTAGTGAATGGCGTTTGAAACTTGCGTCGAAAAATGTAAATAAAACCTGCTGTCGCGACGAAACAAAAGCATAGCGGCTGTTGTCAGGGCGCGCCACAGTAGTTCTCCAGGAACAGTAGGGATTGCATCATCGTAGCGCGTGCCTTGTCACTCGAGCCCGCAGTGAGGAGTGCGAGCTGCAATGTTGCCATGACGTTTCATTAGATTATGAGTTCAGTTACTGATTCATGCTCGTGTTATAAAGACGTTAAGACGTTGAGACGCTCAGCCGTTCTCACCCGCTGTACGTAATTCAAAGACGATGTTTAGTTATCCGTGACATTTTGTTTTTATTGTCAGTTTTTTTTTTCATCATGGCGAGACAAGGTAAATAGATGAACCTTTTAAAAGAATGTTTCGTGAGTGATAAAGAGTGATATTTGAGGCGAGAAAGATCAGAAAAGTGCCCTGTTTGTTAGTGCCTGTGTCCATTCTCTCTGTCGCTTGCGCAATGGTGACTCGCAAAGGAACGAGTGAAAACAGACAAAATGCGAGAAATTATTTAAAAAGAAAAAAAAATCGGAAAATGAAAAGAAAGAATATGAATAGACGAAAGGAAGAATGTCACGCCCGTTCCACCCTTTCTCTAAATCAATAGAAGAAAAGCGAAAAGGTGAAGGTTCATTCATCAATGGCTTTTTTCAAACATTTTGAAATAAAGAAAGAGTTTCCCCGTGTTTCTCATTATCAAGAAAGAGTCCCCTATTGAACGAAAAACCTCACGTTAAATCGACCGCGACGACCCTTCAGCTAAACACCACAGAGACGAAGACAAATGGACGCGATGATAATAAAATTCAGCGAGGCGAGTGGAAAAAAACCACGTGGTTTGCCCGATCCACGTAATCACAGCCAGACTAAATTAGGGCGGCGGCGTCCGGCGGTGTCTCCCGTTGGGTGCAGGTTAAACGGTTATCGAGGTTGCGAAGTTACAACGTGTATTAGGAAAGGGGGGAGGTAGGTTAGGTTAGAAAGAGGGTTAGAAAGCTAGATAAATGATTGGGATCCAGACGAGGGTTTAGGGATTAGGGCAGGCCGGATTAGGTGCGGTATATTTTTTTCCTTTGTGTTGGTGCAGTTAGGATTAGCATGGGGATATTTTGGGTTGATTTATTTGTTTGTTTATTTATTTATTCGTTTACTTTGATTACGAGAATAGATATGATAGAATTAGTGTTGGTTCGCAGATTCTAGGGCGACTTGAATAATCGATGATAAACAGTTATCACATTTACGCAAGAGTAATATATTTTTCCTATTTTACTTTTCCTTTCCTTTTTTTGGCAAAGGTAAATATTTGTCAGGTACAAAATACAAAATTATGTAATTACTGCATCTGAACATTAGTACTTTCGTTTACATTTCGTCTCCTTTCCATTTTCCTCTGATATCGAGTTACAGTACACCAAGGGGGTGGGGGGTAGGGTGGGGCTACGGTATAACTAGCATGACAACAAAAGAAAGTGTTAGTTTTTTTGTTCACTCTGTTTGTTCACTCCGAGGACGCGAGTCGGTAAACCTGGAGTCTTGTTCTGTGAACTCTGACAGAATCAAAACAAAAACGGTCTTTATTTAATTTGCCGAAGATAACTTTCCCGCGCAGAAAGCAGTTCCTTGCAAAGTTTAGAAAAGTTAGTTTGTTGTGCCTCGGCGAGCATTTTGCCGAAACCAGTTATCTTATATAGAATAGAAAGAAAAAGTTATATTATTTTTACGTCAACTTTAGTATCTATTCAAGGAACCCGAATAGTACTGGGTATTCTTACGACTGTTCACGGCCGTATATCTGCTTCGTATGACGATATCAATAGAATATGCCCTTAGGTGCATCTTTATAACATTTTACAAGTATAAAAGCATTTTCCTTATTAATAAAAACACATTTAATTGACAATAATAACTTTGTAAATTTAGCAAATACTTCAGGGAAGCGATGATTTAGAAAAGTAAAATCCCAAATACTGAATTTCAGGTAGCCAGGTTTGTTGAATTAGTCTATTAATCATATTACTGTTTTGATTACTGTTGCCTGATTATATTTCATTGATTTCGTAATATTTCAAATTACTGCTCATCGTAAAAAAATACACAAATAGGTCACTTGCCATAGTTCTGTCAAGCCACACACCCCAAAAGTTCATCCACATCGCGGTTTCCCAGCCAAGTCGCAGACGAAGACTGGCAGGAAAATTCTAAATTGCTTGCCAGTTTTTGGAGGTCCGGCCTGAAAGTCCGCTATCACAGTAACAGTAATTAGAAAATTACACGAAAATTTCTCTGGCCTTTTATCGAACCGACGCGCCACAACGCTGCCGTGGGGGAGTGTGTCGGGGTGCGAGGTGATGGGTAAAATAGAGGTGGGGGAGAAGGGGTTATCTAGGCCGCTTGGCTGATCGTGTTGGTAAACAAACAGCCGCCAATAAGCTGGTATGCTAAAAATATAGTGGATTAAAGACTTAGGACTGAAAAAAAATCTTATTTCCTTCGATTACAAGAATAGGTAGATAAAATAAAGAAAATCTGTAAAAAGTCCGAAAACAAAGATGTCGATGTACTGTAAACAAAGAATCAATCGTTGATCGATATATTGGCAATGTTTACCCTTGACGTCACAGCGACCTGTCCATACTCTAATGGGAGGGACAGAGGCGGATACCCAGGGCGGGAGGAGCGGGAGGGAGGAGTAGGGAAGGAGGGAGGATGGAAGAGGTTTGCTGAGTCCAAAGTGCGAAGGAAAGGGTCCCAAACGTCTTCCCTGAAAGATCGTAAGGAGGCGGTAAAAATCTTCTTAACATCGTATCATATTTCGGTAATGGCGGTGGATACCCTGCTCAGGGTCTTTCAGTTGATGTTTATGAGGCTGGGTGTAAAGTCTTCTTTTTCCTTTTTTCTATCTTTTTTGTGTTTTTTTTTCTGTTTACATTGTCGGAGGTGGAGAGAGTGTGTGAAGGAGAAAGAAAGAAGAATAGAAAAATTAAAGAATGGGAGAGAGAGAGAGAGAGAGAGAGAGAGAGAGAGAGAGAGAGAGAGAGAGAGAGAGAGAGAGAGAGAGAGAGAGAGAGAGAGAAATGGAGTTGGAAAATAGATAGAGAGAAAAGGAGATAGAGAAAGTGATAGGGAGAAGAAAGTAAATGAGAGAAAGAGAAAGTAAAAACACAAAAAAACAAGAGAGGAATAAAATGGGAGAGAGAGAAGAGGAATAAATAGAGAGGATAGAGATCGAGAAAGGAAGGAAGAGAAAAAAAGGGAAGAAAGAAGAGATAAAAAGAGAAAGCGTGAAAGAAAGAAGAGAGAGAGGGAAAGAGAGTAGTAAGAAATCAGAGTGATAAGAAGGAAAAATAGGAGAAAAAAAGGAGAAACACTGCAACCGAACAGAGGAAATCTAGTATTAAGCAAGTGCAGTATACACTGGCAATATCAAAGTTTTAATAAGAACTACCCAGTAACCTCTCAGTATCAGACTCCAAGTGGCAATTCCACAAGGTACTTCATACGAACGCTTAACGACACTGCTATGAAATATACATCCAATACAAATGGAAGCTTTTAACCTCGGCAGAACGTAAGGTATTTTACCAGTGGATTAGAGAGCAAAAGGAGGCTTGCAATGTTATGTACGCTGAATTGAAGCTTGATAAAATGTGCAAAACAGGAGATAGAGGGTTTTTCTTGTGAGATTAGGTGTGAAAGTAGGTAATTATAAAATCAGAAGTACAAGGCTGATGGAAAGATAATATAATGATTATGGTTCTGATGCTTACAGTAAAGACATATTAATGCAAAAGTGTATGTCTTGTTTAATAGAGAAGTCCTTAGAATAATTTTTGTAGCAAAAGTTATTAGGGTTATAATTTTGGACGAAAAGTTACTGGGGTTAGAATTTATGTTTAAGTATTTAGTATTTCAAGCAAGAATAATGTTAAGAGAAAGACATCAAACAGTTTATCAATTGTTCTCTGTTAGAAAAGTTCTTACGATTATTTTTAACTAGCTATTTAACGTCTTTGCCTCCCTTCTGCAGGAGACTCCACGCCGAGAGGAGGAAGCCCTTACCCGGGTCGCCGTGAATTCCCGAGGACAGCCTACTCGCCCTCCAAGACCTCGGCCTCCAAGATTATCCGCTCCGTCTCGAGGGAGGAGCCAGAGGACGACTTGTCCGAAGGGGAGGCCAGTCGAGACGGGCGGAGGAGACCCGAGGCCACGGGAAGAAAGATCTCGCTGCCGATTCTCGCCTACCGGGGAAGTACAAGTGAGTTTCGGAGAGGGAGTGGAAGAGGGAGAGGGAATGGGAAGGGGTGGGAGAGGGAGAGGAAAGGGAGAGGGGGGAGGAATATGGACAGGGACAGGGATGACAATAAGGGATAAAGAGAGATCGAAAAAAAGTAAAAAAGAAAGAAAGGCCGCGTCCTTGCCCCATCTGACCCAGGCCCGCAATTGCAGGTGACTCGTCGGCGCCGTCCAGCGTGTCAAGCCTGCAGGGGGCGCCGGCGTGGTGGAACAGCCGGCAGGTGCGAGAACCTCCTCCCAGGAAGTTCTCCCTGAACCACACTTCGTCGTCGCCGTCGTCCAGCTTCACCCAAGCCAAGATGGTGTTCACGGGCCGCAGCCTGTCGTCCCCGAGCGACCCCCCGTCCCGGATCCCCATGGCCACCCACAGCAACGGGGGCTTCCTGCAGGAGCCGCCCTGGAGGTCCCCCAGGGGCCTCGGGTGCGCCTCGTCCACCGTCCCCAACGCCAGCGGCCGAGGTGAGTAGGTCCTCTGAAGTAACTGATGTTTTAAACTTTCTAGGTATACATACATACATGTGTGTATATATGTATACATACACGTATATATGTGGGTGTGTTTGTATGTATTTATATACTGTATGTATACATATATATGTGTAAGTAAACGTATGTATACATATATATGTGTAAGTAAACGTATGCATACACTATATGTTAACATGTATGAATGTACAGGATATACATATCTACATACATATAATACATATGCAAACTATGTGTGATGTAGGAGGTATGTATATTTACAGAACATGCAAATATATGCATAAATATATGCCGGTTCCAGTAAGATCGGTTGGCGTGCGGTTGCTTTCGGGTTTCCGTTTTCGTTTTCAGTTTTCAAGCAAGGCTGATGGAAAGTTTTGGTATCTATTTGATTCGTTTTAAGTGTCATTTACTTTGTTAGAATGTATAATGTTGAGAGTTATTGGGTGATTTTTATTTTTTATGATATAGGGCTTGCATATAAAACCAGAGGAAAAATCCAGTGGAAAGATAAATGGCACGAGTGATTTTAAACTCATCATGGTTACACACACACACACACACACACACACGCGCGCGCACATACACACATATATGTATACATACGTACAAACACAGACACACACACACACACACACACACACACACACACACACACACACACACACACACACACACACA